CAAAAATGCAATTATTGATGAAAATCACAACATGTTCGGCTATATAATATACTCCTATATATTTTTGGCAAAAACGCAGTAATCTTTATATATATATATATATATATATAATTTTTCTAATAATAAATTAATTACTGATAATAAATTTCCATCATCATTGTTACCTTCTTCAGCAATGTCAGACAAATTTTTAGCGACTGATGTCTCAGCATCTGAATTTCCATCAGCGCATACATCACTGCACACGATACTGTTCACATTTTTTTGGACATCACTCAGTATATTGCCATGCTCTTCAAGAAATTCCAGGACGGCCGGACTATTTTGAATAACACTTTTTTGCAACCTCACCTGTTCAACTGACAATTTCTCGAATCTATTGTCACAATTAGTAACTTTCCACAAGTCATCAGCGAGAAAACAGGGAAATTTGTCTTCGACTTTAGTTTCAAAAATTAACTGACATATACTAAGAAATTCGTCCCACATTTTATTCTTGTCAACGTGTTCGAAAAACTCCGGCAGGCTGAGTGATAATGTTTTGGCTTCATGATGCAAAAACTTTGCACTTTTTTTTACGTCGTCACTTCAAAAAATTCGCAAAGAGAAGTTTTCATTTCCTTTTCATTTATCTAGTTTCGAACGTACCAAATATAACACAATAACGTATCAATTACGTATTTTTTATCGCTTTTAAACTCGACAATTATTTCTTCCGCCATTTTCCAAAGATCATATAATAAAATCATATAATATATATATATATATATAAGGTTAAGACTGTCAAAAATGCAATTATTGATGAAAATCACAACATGTTCGGCTATATAATATACTCCTATATATTTTTGGCAAAAACGCAGTAATCTTTATATATATATATATATATATATAATTTTAATAATAATAAATTAATTAATAATAATAAATTTCCATCATCATTGTTACCTTCTTCAGCAATGTCAGACAAATTTTTAGCGACTGATGTCTCAGCATCTGAATTTCCATCAGCGCATACATCACTGCACACGATACTGTTCACATTTTTTTGGACATCACTCAGTATATTGCCATGCTCTTCAAGAAATTCCAGGACGGCCGGACTATTTTGAATAACACTTTTTTGCAACCTCACCTGTTCAACTGACAATTTCTCGAATCTAT